AGGTCCCACAGTTGACAGTGCATGCCAAAGCAAAAACCAAGCCATGAGGTCGAAGGAATTGTCCGTAGAGCTCAGAGACTGGATTGTGTCAAGGCACAGATCTGGGGATGGGTACCAAAACATTTCTGCAGCATTGAATGTCCCCAAGAACACAGTGGCCTCCATTATTCTTAAATGGAAGAAGTTTGGAACCACCAAGACTCTTTCTAGAGCTGGTCGCCCGGCCAAACTGAACAATCGGGAGAGAAGGGCCTTGGTCAGGGAGGTGACCAAGAACCCGATGGTCACTCTGACAGAGCACCAGAGTTCCTTTGTGGAGATGGGAGTACCTTCCAGAAGAACAACCATCTCTGCAGCACTCCACCAATCAGGCCTTTATGGTAGAGTGGCCAGACGGAAGCCACTCCTCAGTAAAAGGCACAAGACAGCCCGCTTGGAGTTTGCCAAAAGGCACCTAAAGGACTCTCAGACCATGAGAAACAAGATTCTCTGGTCTGATGAAACCAAGATTGAACTCTTTGGCCTGAATGCCAAGCGTCACGTCTGGACTAGTCAGGATCGAGGAAAAGATTAACGGAGCAAAGTACAGAGAGATCCTTGATGAAAACCTGCTCCAGAGCGTATCCTCCTACATGCTTTACGGTCAGGCCAAAGAACACATTTCCACCTGTTTAATGTCCATTGCTTGTGTTTCTTGGCTCAAGCAGGTCTCTTCTTCTTATTGGTGTCCTTTAGTAGTGGTTTCTTTACAGCAATTCGACCATGAAGGCCTGATTCACACAGTCCCCTCTGAACAGTTGATGTTGAGTTTGAATTCCACAAATTAACTTTAAAGGCACACCTGTTAATTGAAATGCATTCCAGGTGACTACCTCATGAAGCTGGTTGAGACAATGCCAAGAGTGTGCAAAGCTGTCATCAAGGCGAAGGGTAGCTTTTTTGAAGAATCTCAAATATAAAATATATTTTGATTTGTTTAACACTTTTTTGGTTACTACATGATTCCATATGTGTTATTTCATAGTTTTGATGTCTTCACTATTATTCTACAATGTAGAACATAGTAAAAATAAAGAAAAACCCTTGAATAAGTAGGTGTCCAAACTTTTGACTGGTATGTGTGTGTATCTTTGTCAGGTGAATGCTGTATTTAAAAGTACAATTTATGTAGTATGTAAACCGTATGTATATGTAAAAAAAAACAACTGAAAAAGCTATTTTGTCCTCCAGAGGGTGGATGGGTTAATTCAAATAAAATAAAATATAATCCATCCACCTGACAGATATGGCATATCAAAAAGCTAATTAAACAGCATGATCATTACACAGGTGCTGGTGACAATAAAATGCCACTATAAAATGTGCAGTTTTGTCACACAACACAATGCCACAGATGTCTCAAGTTTTGAGGGAGCATGCAATTGGCATGCTGACTGCAGAAATGTCTACGAGAGCTGTTGCCAGATAATTGAATGTTCATTTCTCTACCATAAGCCGCCTCCAACGTCGTTTTAGAGAATTTGGCAGTTCGTCCAACTGGCCTAACAACAGCAGACTACGTGTAACCACGCCAGCCCAGGACTTCCACATCTGGCTTCTTCACCTGCGGGATTGTCTGAGACGAGCCACCCGGACAGCTGATGAAACTGTGTGTTTGCAAAACTGATGTATTTCTGCACAAACTATATGAAACCGTCTAAGGGAAGCTCATCTGCGTGCTCGTCGTCCTCACCAGGGTTTTGACGTGACTGCATTTTGCCGTTGTAACTGACTTCATTGGACAAATGCTCACTTTCGATGGCTACTGGCATGCTGGAGAAGTGTGCTCTTCAACTGTAGATGGCAGACAGCATGTATGGCGTTGTGTTGCGAGCTGTTTGCTGATGTCAACATTGTGAACAGAGTGCCCCATGGTGGTGGTGGGTTTATGGTATTGACAGGCATAAGCTACGGACAACGAACACAATTGCATTTTATCGATGGAAATTTGAATGCACAGAGATACCGTGACGAGATCCTGAAGGCCACCGCCATCACCTCATAATGCACGGCCCCATGTCGCAAGGATCTGTACACAATTCCTGGAATCTGAAAATGTCCCAGTTCTTCCATGGCCTGCATACTCACCAGACATGTCACCCATTTAGCATGTTTGGGATGCTCTGGTTTTCTGATCCACGCCCCTACTTTATTTTTAAAGGTATCTGTGACCAACAGATGCATATCTGTATTCCCAGTCATGTGAAATCCATAGATTAGGGCCTAATGAATTTATTTCAATTGACTGATTTCCTTATATGAACTGTAACTCAGTATAATCTTTGAAATTGTTGGATGTTGCATTTATATTCTGTTCAGCATTTTGTGCCGACTGTATTTTGTATTTGCTACAAGATTAACTTATGGAATAGGAAGTCATTTGTTGTATGCATAATTCTGACAGTGCTTTGATATGTGTGTATAGTGATAATGTAAACGTACAAACGCTTGCACACCCTATAGCTCTCCAGGACCAGGGTTGGCCACCCCTGGTTTGGGGAGTGTGTTTGGGGGGGTCTGGGTTAAACCAAGTACGTCTCTCTGTTTTTAAGGTTTATGACTGTTTGTATGTACTACATTCCTCTGACCCAGATGCTATTGTTGTACCTTGACTAGAGACACCAGTAATAACGTCATCATAGGAAAAGGGAATGGAAATGTTAGTCTATTTGTCTCTCCTGCTCTCTCCGTGAGGAGAGGATACTGATCCAAGCAACTGAAGCTTCTGTGTGAACTGAAAGATGATAATACAGTTTGACGTGATTTGACTGAAGCGATAAAGTCGGTTGAGACTTTGGTGTTAAGTGACTTTGGGCATCTTGAAAAGCGCTTAAAATAAAATGTATTATTTATCATTATTATAATAATATTGTGTTTTTTTTTTTTTTTTCTGATGACTCTGAAGAGGTCTGTGTGCTTGAGAGCTAATAATATACCATACCAGGTAGGTGAGTGCATTTTCCTGCTCCCTTTGTCACCACACATCTCAGTATTAGTCATAACTAGTGTTTATATATGTATATTTATATATGTATATTTATATACAGTAGAGATCAGTGGTGTAGTGGAGGGTAAATGCAGTTTACGCAAAATTTTTATTTTGTGAGAGGGTTTATCCACCTTTTGTGGAAAAAAGCATTGAAAGTATAGGGAGAGTTACTTTATTCAATCAATCACATTTTACTTATAAAGCCCTTTTTACATCAGAAGATGTCACAAAGTGCTATACAGAAACCCAGCCTAAAACCCCAAACAGCAAGCATTGCAGATGTAGAAGCACGGTGGCTAGGAAAAACTCAGATCCGAGTTTACCGCGACATCACTTTTAAGATTGTGAGGTTTCTAGCTGAGGATAGCTGAAGGCACCAGAGTTATAACCTCTCACTTTGCCAGAAATTCACACACACACAGCCTAATTTTAGTTTAGTTTTGTCAGTGTTAGACTGTGGTAATGTTTTCAACTTTGAATGGTCATTCAATCAACTTTATTACTGTTAACTCTGTAACTGACTCTTTTTACAGTCTAATATGTTTGTTGTAGGCTATACAATACGACTTTGAAGGGTTGGACAAGAGTAGGCCTAAATGTCAAGTTTATTAGTGCTGTTTCATAACGGTACAAAATGAATTGTTGGAAAGGTGGCATCCTATGAAGGTGCCACGTTGAAAGTCACCGAGCTCTTCAGTAAGGCCATTCTACTGCCAATGCTTGTCTATGGAGATTGCATGGCTGTGTGCTTGTAAAAAAATAAATATATATATATATTATTTTTTTTACATTCACATTTTAGTCATTTAGCAGACACTCCTATCCAGAGCAACTTACAGTTAGTGAGTGCATATATATATATATTTTTCATACTGGTCCCCCGTGGGAATCGAACCCACAACCCTGGCTTTGCAAGCGCCATGCTCTACCAACTGAGCTACATGGGTCATACATATATCATACTGTATCTAAAGCATTCATTTAAAACAAGTACTTTTTTCGACATCTGTGGACTAGAAGAGAAAGAGGAGAGAGCACCATTGTTGTGTATTTTATTCCTCTCATGTTACTATTTTAAACTCTGCATCATTGGGAAGTGCTCATAAGCAAGCAATTCATGTAAAGCCCACACAAGTTGTATTTGGCGCATGTGACAAATAACATTTGATTTGATTTGAAATCCGGAAGCTCCTTGATATAAACAGCGTGGAACTGACCAATGTCAGGTATCAATGGACCGACCAATGGCGGGCACCAATGGTCTGACATTAATTATTATTATTAATTAATTATCTGACATCAAGGAACGCCCATATCAAGAAATGCCCTGAATTGCTGTCTGCAATTACACCATATTGAACAAACTGGCCACTGAGTGTATATCTTGTCATAAGCACAACGTGACTGCAAAAGAGATAGTTTGGAGCGTCTATTCTCATCAAATTAATAGGAAGTCTGACTGAAAGCGACATGATTGTTTGGTTGCGGGACAAAGGGCCAAAATACGGGACTGTCCCGCACAATCCGGGACATGTGGTTCCCATATTACCGCGTTCAAGACAACTGGGCCCTCTGACAAAAAAACAGCTAAGGATGGGGAAAATCGTTTGAACGGTCATCCAACTCGCAATTCCAAGTCGGAAACTCGGGCAACTTTCGAGAGCTCCGACTTTCCGACCTGAAGATCGCTGACATCATGATTTGACCTCGTTTATTTTTTGTTCCCAGTTGTCTTGAACGCACTGAAGTTGGAAGTCAGAGATTTCCAAGGACCGAGATCCCGGTTGTCTTCTTCTTCGTTGAGGTTTTATGGCGGTGTGCATATCAGTATTAAGTACATTACCGCGACTTACCGAGCTGGAGTGTGATAAGACTATGGAGGTGTTCCCAATTGTTTTGAACGCGGCATTAGTTATAGTCGAAGACACAGTCAATGAGGCAGCACGCAAGCATTGGTTGATGCGTGCAACCTCTGAGCGGGGGAACGCGACCATTGTCTCCACTGCAGCAGACCCTCAAGTCGACTACCGATTTATGGTCTCACTGATGGAAAACCCTGCGGGCAGCGAAATGTTGAGACATTCCGAAACCGTGCCAAATTAAAGGTAATTGTATGGCCATCGTACCTAGCTAGTTAGTAATATACATTCGGGTCCTCAAATTTTGCTAGAAGACTAAAGGCTAAGGTTAGCTTGCTAAGAGTGGGTGGAATGGGGTGAATAAAGGTTAGCTAGTCGGTTAGCTAGCTATAATTAGCTAGCTAGTTAGGGGAAACCACTGGAATCAGTCTGAATTATGGGTTTACAACAGAAAAATTGTTCTGTATGTAATTCAATGGGTAACCTATTTGCCTATAGGTGATATTATTTGCTCCATATTTGTTAGCGAGCAGTAGCTGGCTACGTTCTGTACAGAGACTTATGGCCATGCAAGCATCATGGATCCAATCAGTCTCTAGCCTCATCTTTTTATTCGATTGTTAACTAGCTAACTAGATTGTAATGTGGGAACAATTGGCTAATTGTGTCATTGGTTATGATTGAATCCTTGTAGTTAATGCTGACAACCAAACCCTGGGCACACAGGAGCCATGCTGACGTCTATCAAGCTGCCTATTGTGATCAGAGCCGAAATCAATTTGGTTTTGGTGGTAGTGACAGCCCTTGGACTTTTGTCCAGACTGTATGGAATTAACTTCCCTAAAGCTGTTGTGTAAGTAGCTCACATTTACATTTCACATGTTTTCATTTTGCAGACGCTCTTATCCAGAGCGACTTACAGGAGCAATTAGGGGTTAAGTGCCTTGCTCAAGGGCACATCGACAGATTTTTCACCTAGTCGGCTCGGGGATTAGAACCAGCGAACTTTCAGTTACTGGCACAATGCTCTTAACCACTAAGCTACCTGCCGCTACTGTATATCCAACCTCTGTTATATTCTTCACTCCTGGTTCGGATCCCACTGACACCCAGGCTTTTGTTCCAACCCAGTGTGAAACACGGAACACACCCATTTAGCCACTGATTAGTTGAATCAATCTGTGTTAGGCCAAGAACTGTACTGGAACAAAAGTCTGAAAATCCTAGCCTGATGGTCCCCTGGACCAGAGTTGAAGGACCCACATTAAACAACAGTAGCCCATACTATACTGGACCGCCCTTGGTAGATAAGACAAATATCGTTTTTTTTAATAAGACATGTTTTTATTTTTATTTAGCAAGACAGTAGTTTACCCTGACACCCCCATTGATGTTTTACAGGTTTGATGAGGTGTACTATGGACAGTTTGTATCTCTCTACACAAAACAGGTCTTCTTTGTTGATGAGAGTGGACCACCTCTTGGTCACATGATTCTAGCATTTGGAGGTAAGTACTGAACCCTTACAATACGATACAATATACACTACATGATCAAAAGTATGTGCTCAAACACCTGCTCGTCGAACATCTTATTCCAAAATCATGGGCATTAATATGAAGTTGGTCCCCCTTTGCTGCTATAAAAGCCTCCACTCTTCTGGGAAGGCTTTCCACTAGATGTTGGAACATTGCTGTGGGGACTTCCATTCAGCCACAAGCATTAGTGAGGTAGGGCACTGATGTTGGGCGATTAGGACTGGCTCGCAGTCGGCGTTCCAATTCAAAGGTGTTCATTTCTGTATGGACCTCGCTTCGTGCACGGGGGCATTGTTATGCTGAAACAGGAAAGGGCCTTTCCCAAACTGTTGCCACAAAGTTGGAAGCACAGAATTGTCTAGAATGTCATTGTTTGCTGTAGCGTTAAGATTTCCCTTCACTGGAACTAAGGGGCTTAGCCTGAACCATGAAAAACAACCCCAGACCATTATTCCTCCTCCACCAAACTTTACAGTTGGCACTTTGAATTGGGGCAGGTAGCGTTCTCCTGGCAGTCCCGTGTAGCTCAGTTGGTAGAGCATGGTGTTGTTGCATGGCGCCAGGGTTGTGGGTTCGATTCCCACGGGGGGCCAGTATGAAAATGTATGCACTCACTAAAAAACTGTAAGTCGCTCTGGATAAGAGCGTCTGCTAAATGACGTAAATGTAATCCGCCAAACCCAGATTTGTCCATCGGACTGCCAGATGGTGAATCGTGATTCATCACTCCAGAGAACGCGTTTCCACTACTCCAGAGTCCAATGGCGGCGAGCTTTACACCACTCCAGCCGACGCTTGGCATTGCGCATGGTGATCTTAGGCTTGTGTGCGGCTGCTCGGCCATGGAAACGTATTTCATGAAGCTCCCGACGAACAGTTATTGTGCTGAAGTTGCTTCCAGAGGCAGTTTGGAACTCGGTAGTCAGTGTTGCAACCGAGGACAGACGATTTTTACACGCTATGTGCTTCAGCACTCGCCGGTCCCATTCTGTGAGCTTGTGTGGCCTACCACTTCGTGGCTGAGCCGTTGTTGATCCTAGACGTTTCCACTTCACAATAACAGCGCTTACTGTTGACCGGGGCAGCTCTAGCAGGGCAGACATTTGACGAACTGACTCGTTGGAAAGGTGGCCCAGTGCCACGTTGAAAGTCACTGAGCTCTTCAGTAAGGCCATTCTACTGCCAATGCTTGTCTATGGAGATTGCATGGCTGTGTGCTCGGTTTTATACACGTCAACAATGGGTGTGGCTGAAATAGCCGAATCCACTATTTTGAAGGGGTGTCCACATACTTTTGTGTGTGTGTATATATATGTGTGTATATATATATATATATATATGTATGTATATATATGTATATATATATATATATATATATATGTATATATATGTATATGTGTGTGTGTGTGTACTTTCCATTTACATAGAAATTCATTTTGTGATGAACCTTTAATCCCTTCACTTAGAATAATGCTCATTGTTTCTCTAATTTATACAGCTCATCTTGGTGGATTTGATGGTAACTTTATCTGGAACAGGATTGGAGCAGGTAGGCAATCTAATTACTACAGTGCCAATGCATCTTTAGATCTAATGCCCAACATCCGAATGTATGTGCTTTTCTCAAGTTGTTTAATCAAGTTGTTGTTTCTTACAATTCTTTGCAGAGTACTCCAGTAATGTGCCTGTATGGAGTTTAAGACTGATACCGGCCCTGGCCGGGTCACTGTGTGTACCCCTGTGTTACCTTCTGGTAGTGGAGCTCGGGTACTCACACCTCACAGCACTGGGGGCTGCATTGCTCTTCCTCATGGGTAATGTTGTCCTATACTTCCTCTTATACAGTCAAAGTTGTATTTGGATTTGCATAATCGATTTTTGACTCCATTGTTGCTCATTCTTTTCCATTTCCATTGAGTGTAATAAGAGGAACTGTGTATTTTCTGTTTTTGTGAAACAGAGAATTCCTTGATTGTTCAGTCCCGCTTCATGCTGCTGGAATCTGTACTGATCTTCTTCCTGTTGCTCGCTGTCGTATCCTACCTCCGGTTTCACAATGCACAAAGCAGGTGAGTGTCACAATTCCTCTGTACCTACTAGGAAGGGGTTGTCATTCCATGATCACCAACACATCTAACACACACCAACACAAACGATGTTCAATGGCGATTAGCAGAAATGTACCCCACTTCCTTGATTTTGGTTGATGTGTAGTGTCCGCTCGGCATGCTCTCAGCCTGTGTCCGTGCCAGCTGATGTTTCTCTTCATCCTTTTTAGCTCACAGGTCAGATTGGCGTGGCTGGTGCTGACTGGAGTCACATGTGCCTGTGCTGTGGGGTTAGTTCAATCAATCAGCAACATTTTAAAACTAATTGGATGGAAATGAATCTATTGAAAAATAGAAGTTTAAACAGTTGTTCACAATCATCCCATGGTCATGTTTGTGATGACTGAAGGTGTTTTACCTCTTTAGGTCTCACTCATAAAGGTTTGGGTTTGTTTGCATGCATGTCTAAACGGTCTGCTTCTCCCATTCATCAGAGTGAAGTACATGGGTCTATTCACCTACTTTCTGCTGCTGGGCTTGGCGACCGTGCACACGTGGCAGCTTATTGGGGACAGAGCACTGAGCAATGTGAGTTCATTAGGTTTTTTTGTTTTGTTTGTCTATGAATATATCTATTAATTCAAATGGACAGCTTGACCTCCCAGAAGCATCCTGCTAATGTTTGAAGTGTCTCCCAACCGTGCAGAGTGTGGTGCTGATGCAGGTAGTGACCCGCTTCCTGGCCCTCGTGGTCCTACCCCTTCTACTCTACCTGGGCTTCTTCTATGTGCATTTAACCCTGCTCTACCGCAGTGGCCCACACGACCAGATGATGAGCAGTGCCTTCCAGGCCAGCCTAGAGGTCAGTATTCCTCTCTCTGAGACCCAGTTGAGATGGCAATTGTCTATTGGATTTATGAAGTGTTTTTAAAAGACTTTACATTGGGTAGTGGTGCTGCTCTGCTGCATGTTATTTGAGTTTATATCCAGTGTGTTTGGCTGTATTCAGGGAGGATTGGCCAGGATCACTCAGGGTCAGCCTCTGGATGTGGCCTATGGCTCTCAGGTTACCCTCCGCAGTGTGTCCAGTAAACCCATCCCCTGCTGGCTACACTCCCATAAGGCCAACTATCCCATCAGGTGAGGGGGGTGTTTCTGGTTAGCAATTATTTCTATTTGGTTACCATCAGATCTGGACCATGCACATGACACAACACTAGTGTGTAGTGTATTTGTGTTCTCGCAGCATGACCAGTTTCTTATTCTTTGGTGCTCTGAAGGTATGAAAATGGGCGTGGTAGCTCTCACCAGCAGCAAGTGACCTGTTATCCATTCAAAGATGTCAACAATTGGTGGATAATCAAAGATCCAGGAAGGTATGTGCAGGCCAGCTTTAATTTGGATGTCTATAACACCCCCCCATTGTGATGCAGTGTTTATCCACTAAACCGTGTAGCTCAGTTGGTAGAGCATGGCGCTTGCAACGCCAGAGTTGTGGGTTCGATTCCCACGGGGAGCCAGTATGAGAAAAAATAATGTATGCACTCACTAACTGCAAGTCGCTCTGGATAAGAGCGTCTGCTAAAATGACAATTTTTAAAAATGTATATTGTTTATCTGATTCTCTTCCAGACAAGACCTTGTTTTGAGCAGCCCTCCCCGCCCTGTTCGCCATGGTGATGTTGTCCAGCTTCTTCACGGCATGACCTCCCGCCTCCTCAACACGTACTGTAGAGCCACCATTTTGCTCACTGCCTTTTCCATCTGCACCCCAGACAACATGTCTGTTTATTTAAAGAAGCTACTTTAATTTAGTATTTGTAACCAATATATTAGTTGTGTTACTGTGCTTAGCTGCAGCCTAACCTCATTATTAATATTATCTATGGTCTCTCAGGCACGACGTTGCAGCTCCCATGAGTCCTCACGCACAGGAGGTGTCTGGCTACATTGACTTCAATGTGTCAATGCCAGCCCAGAATCTCTGGAAAGTGGTGAGACACACACACACACACACACTCCCACCACCTCATACGTCACCTTTTGTTTTACATGCATTTAATCACAATAACTTATACACTCATTTTATGCTCATTATTTTGTATTGTGATAAATCCACTGTCCTCAAAGGAGTTATACACTTTATTAGGTACACCCATCTACTACCTCGTCGGACCCTCCTTTTCCCTCCAGAACAGCCTGAATTCTTCAGGGCATGGAAACGTTGCTCAATTGGTCAGTGTTGGTGATGGCGTGCCCACTGGAGCCGCCCATCCATGACAAGGAAGGACGAGTTGTGCGTTCCGAGATGCCTTCTGCACACCACTGTTGGACTGCGCCGTTTGCTTGTTTGTGGCCCGCCTGTTAGCTTGCGCGATTCTTGCCATTCTCCTTCGACTTCTCATAAGCGAGCTGTTTTCGCCCACAGGACTGCCTCTGACATTCTCGTAAACTCTAGACAATGTTGTGTGAAAAGCCCAGGAGGCCGGCCGTTTCTGAGATACTGGAACCGGCGCCATTGTGTGTGTGTATATACAGTACCAGTCAAAAGTTTGGACACACCTACTCATTCAAGGGTTTTTCTTTATTTTACTATTTTTCTGCATTGTAGAATAATTGTGAAGACATCAAAACTATGAAATAACATATGGAATCATGTAGTAACCAAAAAAGCGTTAAACAAATCAAAGTATATTTTAAATTTGAGATTCTTCAAATAGCCACTCTTGCCTTGATGACAGCTTTGCACACTCTTGGTATTCTCTCAACCAGCTTCATGAGATAGTCACCTGGAATGCATTTCAATGAATAGGTATGCCTTGTTAATTTGTGGAATTTCTTTCCTTCTTAATGTGTTTGAGCCAATCAGTCGTGTTGTGACAAGGTAGGGGTGTAAACAGAAGATAGCCCTATTTGGTAAAAGACCAAGTCCATATTATGGCAAGAACAGCTCAAATAAGCAAAGAGAAATGACAGTCCATCATTACTTTAAGACATGAAGCTCAGTCAATATGGAACATTTCCAGAACTTTGAAAGTTTCAAGTGCAGTTGCAAAAAACATGAAGTGCTATGATGAAACTGGCTCTCATGAGGACCACCACAGGAATGGAAGACCCAGAGTTACCTCTGCTGCAGAGGATAAGTTCAGTAGAGTTACCAGCCTCAGAAATTACAGCCCAAATAAATGCTTCACAGAGTTCAAGTAACAGACACATCTCAACATCAACTGTTCAGAGGAGACTGTGTGAATCAGGCCTTCATGGTCGAATTGCTGCAAAGAAACCACTACTAAAGGACACCAATAAGAAGAAGAGACCTGCTTGGGCCAAGAAACACAAGCAATGGACATTAGACCGGTGGAAATTTGTCCTTTTGGTCTGGAGTCCAAATTGGAGATTTTTGGTTCCAACCGCTGTGTCTTTGTGAGACGCGTTGTGGGTGAATGGATGATCTCCGCATGTGTAGTTCCCACCGTAAAGAATGAAAGAGGAGGTGTTATGGTGTGGGGGTGCTTTGCTGTTGACACTGTCTGTGATTTATTTAGAATTCTAGGCACACTTAACCAGCATGGCTACCACAGCAATCTGCAGAGATATGCCATCCCATCTGGTTTGGGCTTAGTGGGACTTTCATTTGTTTTTCAACAGGACAATGACCCAACACACCTCCAGGCTGTGTAAGGGCTATTTTACCAAGTAGTAGAGTGATGGACTGCTGCATCGGCCTCATAATACCCCAACCTCAACCCAATTGAGATGGTTTGGGATGAGTCGGACCGCAGAGTGAAGGAAAAGCAGCCAACAAGTGCTCAGCATATGTGGGAACTCCTTCAAGACTGTTGGAAAAGCATTCCAGGTGAAGCTGGTTGAGAGAATGCCAAGAGTGTTTCCTCTACACGACGACCGTGACAGAGCAAAGCTGTCATCAAGGCAAAGGGTGGCTATTTGAGAATCTCAAAAATGAAATATATTTTGATTTGTTTAACACTTTATTTGGCTACTACATGATTCCATATGTGTTATTTCATAGTTCTGATGTCTTCACTATTCTACAATGTAAAAAATTGTTTAAAAAAAAACTTGAGTGTGTGTGTCCAAACTTTTGACTGGTAGTGTGTGTGTGTGTGTGTGTATATGTAATATATCTCACACACACTACCGTTCAAAAGTTTGGGGTCACTTAGAAATGTCCTTGTTTTTGAAAGAAACGCAATTTCTTTGTCCATTAAAATAATATCAAATTGATCAGAAATACAGTGTAGACATTGTTAATGTTGTAAATGGCTTTTGTAGCTGGAAACGGCTGATTTTTAATGGAATATCTACATAGGCGTACAGAGGCTCATTATCAGCATCAGTCCTGTGTTCCAATGGCACGTTGTGTTTGCTAATCCAAGTTTATCATTTTAAAAGGCTAATTGATCATTAGAAAAACCTTTTGCAATTATGTTAGCACAGCTGAAAATTTGTGTGCTGATTAAAGAAGCAATAAAACTGGCCTTCTTGAGACTAGTTGAGTGTCTGGAGCATCAGCAATTGTGGGTTCGATTACAGGCTCAAAATGGCCAGAAACAAATAACTTTCTTCTGAAACTCGTCAGTCTATTCTTGTTCTGAGAAATGAAGTCTATTCCATGCGAGAAATTGCCAATAAACTGAATATCTCGTGCAACGCTGTGTACTACTCCCTTCACAGAACAGCGCAAACTGGCTCTAACCAGAATAGAAAGAGGAGTGGGAGGCCCCGGTGCACAAATAAGCAAGAGGACAAATACATTAGTGTCTAGTTTGAGAAAGACACCTCACAGGTCCTCAACTGGCAGCTTCATTAAATAGTACCCGCAAAACAACAGTCTCAACGTCAGCAGTGAAGAGGCGACTCCGGGATGCTGACCTTCTAGGCAGAGTTGCAAAGAAAAAGCCATATCTCAGACTGGCCAATAAAAAGAAAAGATTAAGATGGGCAGTCTGAGATATGGCTTATGATCAAAAGTATGTGGACACCTGCTCGTCGAACATCTCATTCCAAAATCATGGGCATTAATATGGAGTTGGTCCCACTTTGCTGCTATAATGGCCTCCACTCTTCTTGGAAGGCTTTCCCCCTAGAAGTTGGAACATCACTGTGGGGACTTGCTTCCATTCAGCCACGAGCATTCATGAGGTCGGGGACTGATGTTGGCCGATAATGCCTGGCTCGCAGTCGGCGTTCCAATTCATTCCAAAGGTGTTCGATGAGGTCAGGACTGTGCAGGCCAGTCAAGTCTTCCACACCGATCTCAACAAACCATTTCTGTATGGACCTCGCTTTGTGCACGGGGGCATTGTCATGCTGAAACAGGAAAGGGCCTTCCCCAAATTGTTGCCACAAAGTTGGAAGCACAGAATCATCTAGAATGTCATTGTATGCTGTAGCGTTAAGATTTCCCATCACTGGAACTAAGGTGCCTAGACCGAACCATAAAAAATAGCCCCAGACCATTATTCCTCGTCCACCCAGATTTACAGTTGGCACTATGCATTGGGGCAGGTAACGTTCTCCTGGCTACCGCCAAACCCAGATTCGTCCATCGGACTTCCAGATGGTGAATCGGATTCGTCACGCCACAGAACGCGTTTCTACTGCTCCGGAATCCAATGGCGGCGAGCTTTACACCATTCCAGCCGACGATTGGCATTGTGCATGGTGATCTTAGGCTTGTGTGCGGCTGCTCGGCCATGGAAACGTATTTCATGAAGCTCCCGACGAACAGTTCTTGTGCTGACATTGCTTCCAGAGGCAGTTTGGAACTCGGTAGTGAGTGTTGCAACCGAGGACAGACAATTTTTACACGGTACGTGCGTCAGCACTCGGTGCTCCTGTGAGCTTGTGTTGCCTATCGCTTTGTGGCTGAGCCGTTGTTGCTCCTAGACGTTTCCGCTTCACAATAACAGCACTTACAGTTGACTGGGGCAGCTCTAGCTCTCATCTCTAACAGGGCAGAACGAACTGACTTGTTGGAAAGGTGGCATCCTATGACAGTGCCACGTTCAAAGTCACTGAGCTCTTCAGTAAGGCCATTCTACTGCCAATGTTTGTCTATGGAGATTGCATGGCTGTGTGCTCGATGTTATACACCTGCCAACAACGGTTGTGGCTGAAATAGCCGAATCCACTAATTTTGAAGGGATGTTCACATACCTTTGTGTCTGTACACACACACTCAGTGGCCAGTTTATTAGGTACAACACGCCATTCACTAAAATAGGTTGCTCCTACAGACATTGAGCTGTGGCTTGCTATATAAAGCAGGTATAGAGGCATTAAGTTACTGTTTGATTGAACGTTTGAATGGTTCCAGTATCTCAGAAACGGCCGGCATCCTGTACTTTTCACGCACGACAGTGTCTAGGGTTTACCGAGAATGGTGCTACAAACAAAAAACATCCGTCAGCGGCAGTCCTGTGGGAAAAAACAGCTTCTTGATGAGAGGTCGAAGGAGAATGGCAAGACTCGTGCGAGCTAACAGGCGGGCCACAATTGGGCAAATAACGGCGCAGTACAACAGTGGTGTGCAGAACGGCGTCGGTCTTTGTCACGGATGGGCTATTGCAGCAGACGTCCACACCAGGTTCCACTCCTATCAGCTAAAAACAAGAAGAAGTGGCTCCAGTGGGCATGCGATCACCAACACTGGACAATTGAGGAGTGGAAAAACATTGCCTGGTCCGACACATCCCGGATTTGGCATAAGCAGCATGAGTCCATGGCCCCTGTCCTGCCTGGTGTCAACTGTACAGGCTGGTGGTGTAATGGTATGGGGAATGTTTTCCTGGCACACGATAGGTCCCTTGATACCAATTGAGCAATGCTTCCATGCCCCAAAGAATTCAGGCTGTTCTTGAGGCAAAGGGGGGTCCGACCCGGTACTAGATAAACTGCCCACTGAGTGTGTACATATACAGTATATTAGACCGCAAGAGAAACATACTAACGTTGTTCTTAACTCTATTCTGTAGGACATTGCGAACAGGGAGGCGGAACAAGAGGTCTGGAAGACTATTCTGTCTGAAGTACGTTTGATTCACGTCAACACCTCGGCTGTGCTCAAGGTATGCTCAGGGAGCCCGGGGGATATCTTAAAACTATTTGTCTTATCTGTTTTAACATTGAAGCCCTCTTTCTCATGTTGTGGCTGTGCAGCTGAGTGGATCCTCCCTTCCAGAGTGGGGCTACAGACAGTTGGAAGTGGTGGGAGATAAGATCTACAAGGGCTACCAGCCCAGCGGGGTGTGGACTGTAGAGGAGCACCGCTACGGCAGGAGTAAGTTGTCCTAACACTAATCAAGTACATTCAGTAACACTTTACTTAAAGGGGCTATACATAAGGCATTCATAAAACCTTTATGAAACCAGTCATAACATCTTTGAGTGTTGCAGTGTCATTCATAACAACCTTCATAACACATTTATTCAACTCATTCATCAGGCTTCTTAACTGAATCGCTACACCTTGTGTAATTGTTACTGTGTTCTGATGAGAGCATGGCTTCCTTTTTTTAGGTCAGGAGCAGAAAGAGAGAGAGCTGGAGCTACACTCCCCCACACACATTGACATCAACCGCAGCCTCACCTTCATTGCAAAATTCCTGGAGCTACAGGTAAGAATAGGATAGCGTACCTATGAGAATGTGATTCCTTTCGATGCTGTTTCATTGGTGGACTTCACATGTTCTCTCCTTTTGTGTTGGTCTGACAGTGGAAGATGCTGACGGTAAAGCATGAGGAGTCTGAACACAAGTACAGCTCTTCACCTCTAGAATGGATCACTATGAATACCAACATTGCATACTGGCTCCACCCCGCAAGCAATGTAGGTTTGCTTCAACCTTTGTGTCTGTCAGTCACTCAAGTGTGCTGTGTTTTTTATATTCTAATATCTCTACTGTACTCCAGCCAAGATTTGAACAGTTGTGTGTATTCATGAATTCTTACATTGAAATGTAATAGCGCTACCATGTGTTAGCTTGATTAGCCTTTACTCTCTGTTGCAGGCCCAGATCCACCTGATTGGGAACTTTGTCACTTGGACCCTGGCAAACCTCGCCCTTGCGGTGTACGTTCTTCTTTTCCTATCGTATCTATTAAGGAGGCGACGGAACATTGAAGACATTCCAGAAGGTACACCTCTCGTACATACAATTATGTAAACGCTAACAGAATGTTGACACATTGCAAAGTGGCATGTTAAAAACAGTCATGTAATGTTTTGACTTTGTTGTCCAGCCACCTGGTGCCAGCTGCTTCAGGCAGGAGTGGTGTGTGCTGGTGGCTGGGCCGTCAACTACCTGCCCTTCTTCATGATGGAGAAGACGCTGTTCCTGTATCACTACCTGCCAGCGCTCACCTTCCAGATCCTTCTGATCCCTGTGGTTCTGGAGCACCTGCACACACACATGCTGCGGTGGGCACCAATGGCTCGTCTCGGGTTGGGATTGAATCCGGTCACACTGTAGCCTTTCTCCTGACAGGTCTTAATCATTCCATTTTTAAAACATTCTCCCTCTCTCTAGGTGTGCTTCTCACCGGCGTGCTCTTCATGGAGTTGTATTGGCGGGGCTGTCCTCAGTATATCTGTCCTTCCGGACCTTCAGTCCTCTCACCTATGGTCAACCAGAGCTGAGCGCTGAGCAGCTGGCCTCGCTGCGCTGGAGGGACAGTTGGGACATCTTGTTTCGCAGACGTTAAGTCTTAACCATACACCCCCACTGACTGGGGAGAGGCGACGCTGTACATTTGCACAGGGCAGGAAGCGCCTAAGGGAACCGTTCTAGGGAAGGCCTTTGTCTTATTAACATGTATATTTATTTTGGTAGAATGGATTACCTTAATTTTATCAGTGAGTGCATCTACATGGGATCAGAGAACTTTGGGTCCAGAAACAGTTTAAATCTACAGCTATGGTCAATGTGAAAACCATGAAATGTTTACAAGTATTTTTCACTATCATTTACAGAGGAAAAGGGAATATGTTTATCCAAAAATGTGTCACTGTGATGAACCACTTTTTAACAATTTCTTCATGTGGAATTATGAAGGCTGCATAACACTTGAAATAAAAAAACAATGAATAACAACAATGTTGCATCATTGTAAAGAAAAAAAAAAAAAAAATGTAAATGTAATTAGGCCGGGATTCTATCTGTAGCGCTGGACTGCTAACATACGTATTTTGTCCTGATTCTGATTCTGCCCAAATATTAGCCATCACATCTACACATGGTATTAATGTGTCTCTGATCTGTCCACTGTGTCTGCATTGAGACCAGATTTCCTGGTCCCTCCCTGTATGCAAATATTTAACATATTTCGTCTAAATAGGTATTTCTTTAAGAGACATCTTGATGCCAAAAGTAAATGGTGGCACCTGTCAATGATTTTAGAGGGTGGGATAATGTTTTCACTGTCCAGATCCATCTACACCTGTAAATATCTGGACATAATGCATCCCAACTACCTCCAGAGTTGGCTAGGAAGATCAGGGCCATGTTCAGTACGAAAACGTTTTTGGAACGTTGCTGGTAGAAATGCGATGAATAGAGCCGATGTGATTCTTTACTCTACATGTTAGAAAGGCATGTTTGTTCTACATAGCATATTTTTATCTGAACGTAACTAAATGTTGCATTCTGCTGAACGCGCCCTAGATCACAATTAATATTTTAATCGTCTACACCTGTCTAAAAATGTGGGCACAATCAGAATGTGGACAAGATCAGGACCAAGGACGCATGTAAGCATCCGGTATAAATGGGGCTTCTGTGTTTCTGCTCACAGTTCTGAGGTTACCTGGTACATAGTCACAGACCTCCACTGCTTTCAGGTGATCTTGGCAGTGATAAGAGGCTGTTTCCTTGCATGGTTGCTCCAATGGAACATCAATAGATTCCTGGCCACGGTCTAGCACATAAAAGGTTATATATGGTCACACATTTGTAAGACTGTATAAATCATATACAGTATATATATATATATATAAGATGTGCCGAATATGAAAATATTACTGCAGTCCTGTATTTGAGGTCCACTGTGCTTCTCTAGCAGAGTGCCAGCTTCTTTTTGGCAAATGATGGTGGTGACATTTTCCCTCTTAATTACAGCTTCTACAATTCCAGATCAAATCAAATGTAAGGCTGTATATTGACATTTAAATCAACAAGGCTTTGGAGGATGGATGGAGACTTACAGCCAACTTGGACCTCATCTACAGTCAGGATGTTGTCCATCTGGAAAAGCAGGTTCTCTGTCAGAGAGGTGAGTGGCTTTCACAAACACCTCCCCATGTTTCCTCTCACATGCCGGAAATCCACAAAATGAGCATTCTAATAAAAAAAGAATGTGCATCCATGAAGTTCAAAGTCACCGAACCACCAACTCCCTATTACTGATTAGTTGAAAAGTTGTGGATTTGGTCGAACCCCTGTCAGTGCTTACCTGTAGCTCTTGCTGTGTGTTTGTGTATTATGTGTGTGTGTGTATATACAGTGGGGAGAACAAGTATTTGATACACTGCCGATTTTGCAGGTTTTCCTACTTACAAAGCATGTAGAGGTCTGTAATTTTTATCATAGGTACACTTCAACTGTGAGAGACGGAATCTAAAACAAAAATCCAGAAAATCACATTGTATGATTTTTAAGTAATTAATTTGCATTTTATTGCACTAACAGGGAGCAAAATGTGTATGGCAAAGCTCAGCACAAATATGCAACACTGAAATAATTAATCTGGGTCAAAACAAAAGCATGTAATGTAACTTCTCTTTGGGTTTTAGTTACAGGGCTGTTTCTGAGGAAACATAGAAATGGAAAACACAGTGCAAGAACAGAACGTAGGAAAATGAACATAATAGTAAGATACATTAGTATAGAATGTGGATTTGCTCACCAATTTACTTCTTGACAGATGATAGAGAGTTATAACACTTAGTGATAAGAGCCTTACAGCATCTTGGAGGTATCATGGCACTATAGATAAACCCACACACAACATATCAATAATTGTCGTCATATATAGGCCTATCTGTCTAATGTATCCCTAACTAAATGTGACACCCTGACTTGTCACACAATAGGGGAAATCGCCTGCTCACCCACGTGAGTGACTGAAGAATTTTGAAGCGTCATTCTCGAAAAGATTGCTGAGCTGCAAGCATGTTGTCCAGATTAGCTTGTACATCTTTGGGACATTGGATTGGAGGGCTGCCCATGAAATCTCTAATGTCAAAAGGTTAATGGGATTTAGAAGTTGGTCAGCAATTATCATGGGTGGGCGGACTGGCCATCAGGCAATTCTGGCAAATGTTGGGTGGGCTGGTCGAAATTGTCAACAACAAAAGTATTCAGAATTTTTTTTTTTCTTCTCTTTTGTCATTATTGTATACAGCTCCAAAAGAATTGTGACAGTGACAAATGTTTTGTTGTCTTGGCTCTGTACTCCAACACATTGGATTTGAAATTATACAATTTAGAACCATTTAGAAATTACAGCCCTTTTTGTACATAGTCTCCCCATTTTAGGGGACCAAAAGCATTGGGCCAAATTAGTAAAAAGTTAAGTATTTGGTCCCATATTTATAGCACGCAATGACTACATCAAGCTTGTGACTCCACAAATTTGTTGGATGCATTTGCTGTTTGTTTTGGTTGTGTTTCAGATTATTTTGAGCCCAATAGAAATTAAAGGTAAATAATGTATTGTGTCATTTTGGAGTTACTTTTATTGTAAATAAGAATAGAATATGTTTCTGAACACTTCTACATTAATGTGGATGCTACCATGATTACGGATAATCCTGAATTAATGGTGAATAATGATGAGTGAGAAAGTTACAGACGCACAAATATCATACCCCCAAGACATGCTAACCTCTCACCATTACAATAACAGGGATTTTTGGGGATATGATATTTGTGCATCTGTAACTTTCTCACTTATCATTATTCACGATTCATTCAAACAGCAAATACATCCAACAAATGTGTAGGCACACACTTGATGTAGTCATTGTTTGCTACATTTTAAACTTTTGACTACTTTAAAACACATAAGTGAATTTTGTCCCAATACTTTTGGTCATATAAATTGGGGGGACTATATACAAAAAGTTATGTAATTTTGAAACGGTTCACAAGATATGGATGGAAATACACTCAAATTAAAGCTGACAGTCTGCACTCTAACCTCACAGTCTGTATCATTTCAGAGACAAAACAACAAAAAATGTGTCACTGTCCCAATACTTTTGGAGCTCGTTGCATATTTGAGCATTTGCCTGATCAGTGGACAACGGCGGGCCCCGTTTTCTGATTGGCTGAGCTGAGGTTGTGCAAAAATTCACATTCAAAGCCAAAAACACGCATCAGCAAAGAGACCTGCTTTGACTCACTGTCATCAGTCAGCCCAGATCAAGGATCGTAAAAAACTGAAAGATGGTACCAAAAAAGTTAGAGACTAAAAAAAGGCTCTTGATGCCGATGCTGCTAAATGTGTGAAATTAACCAACTTATTTTGTAAAAGTTCTGGTTCTGCTGGTCCAAGTGCTGTGACTGTGTCTGTGCTTAGAAATGATGCTAGGCTTAGCACTGACAGACCAGCAGCTGCTGCAGAAGACAGTGCAGTCGAGGTAGGGAGAAAACCAGGGGCGCAACTTTGGTTTTAGAAGTGGGGGGGACATAATCAAAATAATCAAAACATATTTATATATACAGAGCCTTCGGAAAGTATTCAGACATCTTGACTTTTTTACAGCTTTATTCTAAAGTTGATTAAATCGTTTTTTCCCCTCATCAATCTACACACAATACCTGTAATGACAAAGCAAAAACTGGTTTTTAGACATTTTTGCTCATTTATAAAAAATAAAAAAAACTGAAATATCACATTACATAAGTATTCAGACCCTTTTACGTTGGTGAAGCACCTTTGGCTGCGATTACAGCATTGAGTCATCTTGGGGTATGACGCTACAAGCTTGGCACATCTGTATTTGGGGAGTTTCTCCCATTCTTCTCTGCAGATCCTCTCAAGCTCTGTCAGGTTGAATGGGGAGCGTTGCTGCACAGCTATTTTCAGGTCTCTCCAGAGATGTTCGATCGGGTTCAAGTCTGGGCTCTGGCTGGGCCACTCAAGGTCATTCAGAGACTTGTCCCAAAAACACTTCTGCGTTGTCTTGTCTGTGTTCTTAGGCCTGATTGGTGGAGTGCTGCAGAGATGGTTGTCCTTCTGGAAGGTTCTCTCATCTACACAGAGGAACTCTAGAGCTCTGTCAGAGTAACCATCGGGTTCTTGGTCACCTCCCTGACCAAGGCCTTTCTCCCTCGATTGCTCAGTTTGGCCAGGTGGCCAACTCTAGGAAGAGTCTTGGTGGTTCCAAACTTCTTCCATTTAAGAATGATGGAGGCCACTGTGTTCTTGGGGACCTTCAATGCTGCAGAAATGTTGTGGTATCGTTCTCCAGATCTGTGCCTCGAAACAATCCTGTCTCGGACCCAGGGACGGCCTGTTCAATAGGGCGATATGGGCGACGCACTGCCAAACGGGAAAAGGAAGGGATTTTTTTTCTAATCAATTATATCACGGCAACAGTAGTTATCAGTGTTCACGTCTGATCTGCCAGCCACTAAATGTCAAATCAGGCTAAAGTCGTGCTTCAAATGGCCCCGCCCGTTTTTGGGGCGATTTCAGTCAAGTTGAAAATCGCCCAGAAGTCTCTCATAGCCTGTCATGTAAAATCTATTTTTTTCAAATTTCAAAGCTTTCAATACATTCTCTATGGGTGTCTGTGGGCTTGCACTTACGCGCTTTCGTCATACGTGACGTAACCATGAACGTAACTAAGACAATAGCGGCTAGCAGCGTCTCTGTTGCGACCTGCAATGTGGCGTTATTTTATGTTTTTAATTTGTAGACTTAGTTTACAAACATTCTGCCAACCATGGATTTCCAGTGGTTGGTTTTGGACTGATCTTGTTGATCGTGTACATACCCGCTACGAACGGACTAAATAATGAAAACGCTGCTGGCAGCGGAATCGCAATACAGCTGGGAGACTTGGCTGGATGACAGAGTCCCGGACAGA